CTGGAGACTCTGCTCTCCAGGCCGCACTGAGCTTTCCTCTCTCCCAACTGTGCCTTGCACCAAGCAGAAAATAAACTCCCAGCAGCCACAGCCCTGGTGGTGTGTCTGAGATGTCACTGACTCCCTCGGGGCCTCACTTCCTGTTAGGGCTGGCACTGCTACCTGGGGGCCTGCTTCTGGGGCTTCATAGTGATGCCTCCTCTCAGATCTGGTGAGCTGTCCTGGGCACGGAGGGCAAGTGCCCCCACCCCACAACCTGAACGGGAGGGTTGCACTTCTTGCTGTGAGTTTAGGAGCCTTCATCTGGAGGGACCCAGCATCCTTTGAAGACCTTGACAGAGCCCTCAGCTCCAGGGAGGGAGGTGGGGTGCACAGGCTGAGGAATAGGGGCTTCGGAATACTCGGGGGCCTTCCTGTCACAGGTAACCCAGTTTAAAGCTCGGAAAGCACAGGATCTGGGCAGTGTAGCTTGAGGCCAGCAGGGGTAAGAGGGGCCTCTATTAGTGGGGAGAGGGCCATGGGTGAAGTTCATTAGGCCTTCCTGCCAACCTACCCCACCGTGAAATAAATAGCTGCAGAGTCCAGGGGGAGCTATGTGCAGCTGAGCCCCTCGCCTGTCTGCCTTGGTGTCCAGGTGGCCTGCAGGGTAGGAGGTCTCCCTCCCTCCCAGGCGAGGTAGCCAGTGCTGGCCTGGGTGGAGGAGGTCCCTTCCTACCTTGGATGGATGCCTTAGGGGGGCGCACTAGGAGGGGTAGCCTGAGCCCCACTTGGTCTTTCTGGCCAGGGTCTCTTTAAAACCTGCAGAGCCCCTGGTAGTGGCTGCTGATTCTCCTGGCAGGATGCTGGGACAGCTACCTGGGTTCTAGGCAGTGTCCAGCAGTTCTCCACTGCCCATCCACCTTGCTGCACCACCTACAGCAATATCTGCAAATGTTGGAGGTTGGGCAGGGAGCCTGGTTGTGAAGGGAGAGCCCAGCCGAAATTCAGGTCCCTACTACACTCACCACCTAGGCATGGGCTTGGCCTTCATTTTGAGTCAGCTGCGAGGCTTAGGGTTAGCTCCAAGAGTGGGTCTGCCCCAGAGGACTTCAGGGTTGGAATCAGTTGGGGAGGGTACACAGTATTGAGCCAGGACTGTGCACTTTCAGGGAGTTGATGTCCTAGCTGGGGCGGCCTCCTGCCTCGGGATTGGGCAGGTGTGAGGCTAGGAGGGGCTCTTAGTGGTGTGGAGGCCAGCCTGACATGGCACTGCTCCTTAGGATCCCCACCAGAAGGTTCACCTCAGAGACCCTTGCCACAAAACAAGAGAAGCATGCAGGTTTCTAGATTATATAAATTTTGCATGACAGGATCCTCCAGAATGCAGAGGAAAAAACCCAGGAAAATCTGTATGCCTTACCCAAGATACTTGAACAGAAATGCTTCAGATTTCAAACCTGGACTTCGATTTAGAGATAGTTGCCTAGACTATTGGTTAGGCGTTGCTAATCTAGAGACTCAAAATCCTAAATGCTCCAAAACTTGGGAATCAAGCTTCTTGATCCCTAGCTTTGGGTACAGGGTTGGACCTCTTTGCAGGGAGGTCTTCAGGGGAGAAGGGAAGAAGACCAGAAACTGGCCATCCTGTGTTTTGTGTCCTGCTCCTGGAAGGAAGTAGGTAGGAGTATGGCCATCCTGCTTCTGCTGTTTGTTTCGGAGACAAGCCTCGTTAGCCTCATTTGCCACGTGCCTCTTGCCCCTCACCCCTCCCGCTGGGAACTTCCCTGGGAAATTTCACAGCCCAGAAACGGTAGGTTGTGAGTCGCCCAAGTCTGAGACCTGGGAGTAGGTCAGTGCAGAGAGAGGTAAACAGTGCTGCCTTGTTTCCGTAGTGCCAGGCTCCCACTGAATCTGGGCCCTCTGGGTGACCATCAGGTGTTCAGTGAGGGCAGCCATTGAGGGCTTCTCAAGATCGGGCCTGGGGCAGCGGATGAGCTAGGCAGCAGCCCTCTAACCCATACTTTGGGTCTATAGCTGAGGTACCACAAAGGTGTCCCTGTGGGAGTGGCGGTGGTCCCTGGAGTATTTATTTACCAGTTGTCTAGCTGTAGTTTCCATTTTATCGTGATTCCAAATCGGGGTGGGGGAGAAAAGTTGGAAATAGTACTTTGGAGGGTGGTAGCCAGATATGGAGGAAGTGAGCTCAGGCTTCAGTCTGGATCACAGGTGAATTGACAACAGGTCCTCAGCCTCAATCAGAACTCTGGTGACTAATGCTAGGCCGCTGTAGTCCGGAAGAAATTTCTCCCCACAGTCCCCCATTTCTATCAAAGTAGGGTTTAACTGTTAATAAATTTAGTCTCTTAAAAAATGCGGCAAGAATAGGTTAACCACACTGTGTTTGGTGTTTGCTGTGTTGGGACTTTATGTGGATTATCAGACTGAACTTTTCAAAATTTCTTGAGGCTAAGAGTCATGGATCACAAGTTTGACAGCAGCCTGGGATGCACAGTGAGAACCTTTCTCAAAATAAACCAAAACAAAAAGGTCGTTGAGCCTAGGAATCCAAGTGCAGGATACACCACCAGATTTCATCTGCAGTATCTATGGGTTTGTGTGAGTTTTACGCTTTTGAGACAGGGTCTTACTGTGTAGTTCGGGCTGGCTACAGACTCACTATGTAACCCAGGCTGTCCTTGAACCTGTGGCGATCCTGTCTCGGCCTCCCAAGAGCTGGGATTACAGGCATGTGCCACCACGCCTGGCTAGATGAGTTTTTTTCTTCTCAAGTTCCTCCATAAAGTTTCCCAAGCTTCCTGTGCTCGTGTGAAATGATATCCTCTCTCATCAGAAGACAGTTGTGTGTCCAAGGCCATTCTTTTCAGAGGCCTTTTTTCACACCATGAAGTCCACCTTAGTTCCTTACCTACTCTGAAAATGGGACATTCGGGTCCTGGTCCTGGTAATGAAACCAGTGTTTCCACTCATGTCCTGTTATAAGGAGAACAGCTGCTTATTGAACTTAGGTAATTATGTCACCATAGCAATAAGGTGCTCACTAATAGTTTGTGAATTCTGAAAGGATCAGCAAAAGATTGTCCACCTCGCTCACAAAGGCATATTTTACCAATTCTGGACCACCGGTGCATGCTGTCCCCCACAGGATTGAACCCCAGCCTGCGATCTGCTGAGCTACATCTCCAGCACAAGAACCAGCAGTGTTTTTAAAAGTAGTTTAAATTACTTTCATGTGTTCAATCAGTTACAGGCAGTTCTTATTCTGGCTGATCTTGGAACAAGTAGGAGCCCATCTGTTTCTCCACTGGGTTCCGGAAGCTCTCACCAGTAAGCAGTGCTCGTGTGATCAGAAACGGCAGTGTACCTGTTGGTCTTCGTGAATCCTCAAAGGAGAAGGAATTTGAGAGTATAGCTGACTGCAAATGCTTTCATTTCAAAAAGTAAAAATTCTGCCAGGGATTTGGCTCCGTGGGTCTGCTGCCTGCCTCACAAATACAAGGTCCAGAGTTCAATCCCCAGTACAAAAAAAAAACAAACCTTAAAAAGTAAAAGTCCATCAAAAATACTGAAAGCCATGATTAAGTATACAAAGAGTTTATTGATGAATTTGACAACGAAACATGGTTATTCCTGTCTCAGGCAACCTTTTAACATAACACAAACTTATGACTGGTAACACACCAGGCATAGAAATGTCTAGGAGTTTTATGCAGTTTCTGCAACACTCCTACAACACCCACAAATGTAACCTAAAGAAAATTTAGCATCACTTTGTTGACTTCCCCAAATACTTCAACACATCAAATAAACCTCATTAGTTTAATTTCTCTTTTACAACATAAGATAGATTCTCTTGAGATAATTCCAGGAGTCCTTTTGGAAATGCCCAGTTACTTCAAAGTCGAAAGATTTAATTCAGAATTTAATTTTAGCTGTTGTCAAACATGCCAAAGTTTAAACACTACTATAGATATGATTTAGGTTATTGATTTAATCGAAGTGATAAAAGGTTTTTAAAGGTAGATTTAGGTGGTTACATAGTTGTAAACAAAACTTGGCCTTTTTAACATTAAGACACTTGAGTAAGGAAAGACCTAGTGAAAGATAATACGAAGTTGGAACCGGGGATTTCGTTCAGTGGTGCCGCCGCCCCCTGCCTTGAAAGTGCAGGGTCCTGAGTCAGATCCCTGGTAGCAAAAAAAGAAGCAGCACAGGAAATTATCCTTTAAGCACAGCCCTTGTTTCCTAGGCCAATGAGCTAAAAGATAAGGAAGAAACTTTCATAATGCCAAAGTCCAGTTTTTTGCATCAGTGTACTATTAACACTAAAAAAAAATTATATATCGACTTTTTCTTCCTACGTGTTTCTTACTCTGTCAACCATTTTATTTTAGTACAGAATTAACTTCTTCCCCCCAAAGCATCCTTTATACCTGGTAACTTCCCTTACCAAAACCAATCTTATTTTCCTTTTGTATTTTACATACAGACTTGTGCTCTTTATTACCACTTTTTTGTTTTTTTGAGACAGGATCTCACTATATAGTTGAGACTGACCTGGAACTCACTGTGTAGCCCAGGCTGGTCTAGAACTCCCAGCCATCCTCCTGTCTCAGCCTCCCAAGTGTTGACATTACAGGCTTGCACCAGCACTCCTGGCTTCTGTCCTCTATTATTTCTAATGGTTGTAATGGCATGTGTTACAGTTTCCAATGGAACTAGGAAGGGAGCACCTGTGAACTGTGACCCTAGCATTCATTGCAGGAGCACCATTGTTAATTTGCCAAAACATCACCTCCCCGCTCTGCTGTACTTTCAGCCCGTGGGTTGTATTTGGTTTGGAGACAGTCTCAGTGTGTAGCCAAGGGTGGCCCTGAACTCCGGATCCTCCTGCCTCTGCCTTCTGAGTGAGCAGCATGTACCATCACACCCTGCTAGTTTTATGATCTTAAACATCCCAATAAAATTAAGATACGCTTATTTGACTGAACCCAGGTAGAAACAAAAAGCTTATCTGCATTGTAGTCAATACTGAAAATTATGAAGGCATTCCTATTTTTATTTTACCAGCATTCTTAAAACTAGTTTTATTTACAAAGATAGTTGCAGATCATGTGAAGACATTTGGCTTAGTTTCTGTATGAGTTTCAGGAATAATACAAGCACTCACTTATCTCTAGGGCCATCTTAATAGAACTTAAGGCATTTTATAAATTAATTTGGTGCTGCCCCTGGAGGTGGACAGATGCCACGCTACAACTGTGCGTGAACCAGCGTGCATTGTTCCCACGGACAGGAGCCCAGAGCCTGCAGCTTTGCTTCACAATGTCTAGTCCCAAGTTGGCAAAGCAGGAACATAACTACTGGTTGGTTTTCATTCGCATTCCTACCAAAGTGTGTTTCGGGCAAAAATGAGAGGCTCAGATTCCTGCTACTGATCTGAGGAAGATTTCCAATGAGGATGAAGGGTCTTCCTGGGCAGAAAGGGACACACTTCAGTCTCTTCACTGGGTTTTTGCAGTACTATCTACATAATTTCCTTAAGTAAATGTATCGACCACTGGCCATTTAATGAATAATTCTAATAGTACAAAGTTCACAATGTTCTCTCCTTTCATTTTACAGCTGCATTTAAAAGGAATACAACAATTTATTATTGATCAGAATAAAGATTTACCATTGGTTTATGCAAAAAAAGCATTTCTAACATTTCTCATTCTCCCAATTTCCAAATAGTTCCTTTTTCTTCTCTAATGACAGTCACTTCCCTGAAGTTTGTATTTCCAAAGGATAACTATCAGGTTTTAGAAAGATAGGGCAAAATTTTTTCATCTCAAAGGCACACAGGATTCTTTTCTCAAGACAGGGAGCCTGGAGCATAGCCGCCTATCATTGGGGGTCAATCAGGCTGTGGCCAAGTCTGTGGCTGGGAGGCATCTAGAGAGGTCATCGTGTCCAACTCCACCTCTTGTCAGCCTCAGGTAGCAGCTTTGGGGGGACCCCTGATGTCCATGTACACAAGGAGCTAGTGTAGGGGAGCAGAGGGCCTGGCGGAGCTCCCAGGGGACGGGAAGAGCAGAAGCGCAAGAGGAGGACACCTGGGGAAGAGGACTGCTTTGTGGGACCAGGCAGGGTGAAGCAGGCCCAGGGGAGAAGAGAGGCCTTAGAAATTACACGGTTGCTGGAGCATGGGCTCCCAGGTAGGCCGACCTCTGACCAGAACACTTCAAAAACCTTCCAAGTGTTCCCTTAAGAGCTTTCACGGGAACAAGCAGCAAATATTCCTGGAAGCACTGGACTCCTTTTATTCCCTTTAAACCAGAGACCTTTCACCAACAGGATCAAAACTGGTAAGTCCTTTATGACTTCATCACAGTCAGGCGATTCCCCAAAAGAGCGCAGGATGGCGCTGCGCGGGGAGGTTCAGAACCATGTCCCAAGGCAGCAAAAAGAGGAAGAGACCTTTGTGGCCGCAGGCAGCAAGGGCAGAGCTCCAAGTTCATCCAGACGGGACCCTCAGTGGTACACCCCTGCCTCTGTTCCAAGGACAGAAGCAGCTGTCGCTCGAGAGTGGGTCAGTGGGCACCAAAACCAAACTTACATAAAATTTCCTCCTGCTGTGCTGACTTTGGAAAAGAGGAGACAAATCTGTACCTCCCACTGCCCACTTGGCACTTCAGGCAGAGGTCAGGGAGAGAATCTGCCTTTCCCTGGCTTTCCTTGGCTCTCCATGGTCTCTGCAGGCTCTGAGGGAAGTGGGCATCTCAGCCACCACTCTTTGGGCCCCAGAAGACACAGGGAGAAAAATTAGTATCTTCTCCTTGCTGGTGCAAGCTTCACAGCTGAGACCCTTCTAATGGGGGACAGGTTAACAAAAGAAAAGCAGTCAGATTTGTTCAGTGTGAGATTTATGTGCCTGGAGCCTCTGGATCGAAGACCCAAAGGAGCAGTAACCCCTGGTTGAGGATGGAGGACAGAAAGTAGGCTCTGGAGGCAGCAAGCTGGCAAGAACTCAGCAAGTCCTGCTGCTCAGGTTCTTCTTGATGTCCCTGTGTGACAGTCCTTCCCCCACCTGGCGCCATAGCTTGTAGTTCGAGGGAGAGAGCCAGTGAGCAGCGGAGTGGGACAGGGTGGTGTCCTCCTGCTGCCGTGGCTTTCTCTCCCCATCATCTCAGTAGCCGGAGGACAGTGCAGGCCCTTGATCGCTGCTCAGGACAGGGGCCCAGGTTGCCCCTCTGCAGGCCCGGCCACGTGGCCTCTGAGGCAGCTCAGAGCAGGTTCTCATACCTGGCAAAGCCGGAGAGTTTCTCGCACAGGGCTTTGAAGCAAGGCCTCTGCTCAGGGTCCCTGCTCCAGCAAGAACTCATCAGCTGGTACACGTTGGGTGGGCACTCTGGGGGGCAAGGCATTCGGTAGCCAGCATCCACCCTCAGGAAGGCCTCATGGTTGGACATGCCTGCAGCCAGTGGGAGAGAGGAGCAGGCTTGCAGGGAGGCTGATGCCCGACCTCCACCCCGGAAACCTGGCTGCAAAAAGCCTTCCCTGCAGCCCCGCCACATGTTCTGGGCGTGCTGGCTTCCTTCCCTGCAGCGGCCACAGGAGGGGACTCTGAGCACGGGAGTGGATGGATGCTAGCGCATGGGACAGGTGTAGCGTCTGGGGAGGCCACCAAGGGAGCTCCCTCCATCGTCCCTGATGGCCACCTCGGACCTACACCCACTCCACCACGCTGTCTGCCCGTGGTCAGGGCTGCTCTGGAACCGTACCTGGATAGGGTGTCTGACCCCTGCTAAGAATCTCATGGAGGAGGATCCCAAAGGACCAGACGTCAGATTTAATGGAGTAATGCCCTCTGGAGAGCGCTTCTGGGGCCGTCCACTTGTAAGGGATCTTGTGGTCATGGGAAAGATAGATGTCCTCCTGCAATCAGACAGGGGCCTGGTGGGTCATGGGGGGCTGTCTGTGCCCCCAACCCCCACGTACGCTGCACGGACTGGCCAGGAACAAGGCCTGGGTGGGCCAGGACGCAGCTGCAAGGGCTCTGACTGCGTCTGACCCGCCGACTGCCACCGTGCGGCCACCAGAGGGCGCTCCGTCCACCGATCAGAGCATCCATTCCCGGAGACGGGGCGGGTGCTGGGATGTGAGGGCGAAGGAGCCCTGCAGCTGTGGATGTATCAGCCTCCCTGTCCCTGCCACCCTGTCAGGAGCGCGCCTTCCCCATGGCTGGCTCTGATGCCCTACCTTGATGAGCCTGGCCAGCCCAAAGTCCCCCACTTTGCAGATATTGTTCTCCCCCACAAGGATGTTTCTGGCAGCCAGGTCCCGATGGATATAATTCTGTGATTCCAGGTACCGCATGCCCTCTGCCACTTGCGATGCGATGTCCACCAGTTCAGAAACGGGCAGAGCTTGCTTCTCAGAGTCTGTGTGGCAACCAGAGGCAGGGTCAGCTGGACCTGCCGGGACCAAGTCCTTACTTGCCACCGGCTCTGCAGGCTCCGGCCCCTTCTGGGCTGCAGCATTGGGCCACTGGCTGGTTTAAAGTTGGGACCGTGGGCCAGCCCACCCTCTGACACAGTAACCATCTGAACCCAGACAGAAACGTGTGTGGGAAGAGTTCCCCACCGTGCTGCTCATGCCACCGACCCCCACGGGCTCACAGAGGTGAGCGCCTGCGTGGCACAGCGTCTGTGTGCTGTGATGGTGTCGCATCTGCCAGTGATGGGGCCGCTGACCCCATGGACGCTGCTTGTGGGGAGGGTCAAGCGAACTTCCTGTGTGGACTGTCGGCCCCAGATTTCACAGGTACACCGGCCCAAGGCACATAGACGTGTACCAGGTGTCCTTTATCCTACACTGCACATTTCCTCCGTTACATTTTCTGAAATTAGGCGACACTTGCCAGCATCTTGATGAACTGGCAGCAGTTTGTTTTGGTGTTGAAGGAGAGACTGGAGCTCCCAGGTGAGATGCATTGTGTGTGCATGCACAGATGGGTGCTTATGTGTAAGTGTGCACTGTGTAAGGGTGCATGCGTGTACGTGTACATGTTTACAAGCTGGAAGGAGAGCAGAGGGGTCAGGAGAAACTCGCTGCAAGAGCCTGGCAGCTGCGCTGAGCACTCAGTTACCTGGCACAGGACCCCGATGCTTTTCTTGTCTGTAGTGACTATAGTTGTTTCTCAATTTTTACAATGAGCAGATGAAAGATTTATTATATTTTAAGTCATTTCTCTTTACTTCTATTATGATGATGATGATGATGAATGTTTTTTGAGACAAGATCTTGCTATGTAGCTCAGGCTGGCCTTTTACGCACTATGTAGTCTGGACTGGCCTCAAACTTGCCGCAATCCTCTTGCCTCGGTCTCCCAACTGCTGGGATTACAGCCTTTTTATTTATTTTTATTTATTCATCTATGCATTTATTTACTTATCTGGTTTTTTTTTTTTTTTGAGACACGGTCTTGCTGTGTAGTCCAGGCTGGCCTTGGACTTGAACTCAATACGTAACTTGGGCTGGCCTCAAACCTGCCCTTCCCCTGCCTCAGCCTCCCAAGGGCTGGGATCACAGGTATGCACACCACACTTGGCCTTTAAGTCATTTCTTAGGAAAGCAGGCGCTCCCACCTGCCTGGCACGATAGCGGCAATCTGCACTGGGTTTGGGGCTTCAAGTGTGTTCCAGTGGCCTCCAGCCTGCCTGCATCACCCGGTCAGAGGATGGACTGAGCCTCTGCCACTCACCCCGCAGAAGCTGCAGCAGGTTCCCCTTGGGCATGAGCTCCGTGATGATGTAGACAGGGTCCCCTGAGGAGGCCACCGCATACAGCGCCAGGATGTGCTTGTGCCGCAGCCTCTTCATGGCCTGGATCTCTGACTGGAAGGTGTGCTGGTGTAGGAGATTGTCTGGGGGCAGAGCCACATCCACATGAGCCCAGCACCCAGGCCACTATCCAGGCTTCATACCAGGGCCTACCTCACTACACCCTGCCTGCCCGTGCCTGCCTGAGCCAGAGCTTGGAGCTGCCCAGGTCTTCCTGCGCTTGGCCCCAATGCCAGGGGATTCTAGGTGAAACTTGCAAGATGTTTAGCCATTTGTTTATTTTAATGGCTTTCCATTTCATTAAGGAATTAAAGTCCCCTTTTATAATAAATGTAGGTAAAAATACAGGGGTCCCTGAAACAAACAGCCCCTTCATCCACAGCCATCCGCCCCAAACACACCCAACCTCATCCGTTCTCAGAAGCTAAGTAGGCAGGCCAGTTAGCACCTAGATGGGAGAAACCCTTCAATGCTGCTAGTGCCTGCAGGTCCTGCTTGTTGTCGGGATTGTAGGGGAGGGGCATGCTGTCAGCAGAGCCCCCGCAGGATCCACTCACCTCGAGAGATCACCTTAATGGCCACTCGGACCTGGCCTTTCCAGAGCCCTTCAAAGACCTCCCCGAAGTAGCCAGCCCCCAGCTTCCTGCAGAGCGTGAACTCCTCCTGTGGCCTCTCCCAGTCGGCCCAGTGGGGCAGGGGCTCAGCCTGGTGCTGGAGGGACAGGGGGCACAGGAGGGTGGCTGGCTTACCCTCAGGAAGGGCCCTGAACCCCACAAGAGGAGCCCAGTTCTGTCTCCAATTTAGGGCCCCATTCAGCTGGAGAGGGCTTTCACGTCCGTACACAGATGCAGTTCTCCTCAGGCCCCTGACAGCTGGGCTTCTGGCCCTCCACCACCCCTGCTCCGCACAACCTCAGCATCCGTGCCACCCACCGGACCCTGAGCATGCGGGTCCCGCACGGGCAGGTGGCCCTACCTTCCAGCAAGGCACAGTCAGCCTCAAGCCATGGGACAGGCTCTGGGCCTTGTGGTAGTCCACGAGCTCCAGCAGGCTGGGGAAGGACACTGCCTCATTCAGGTGCAGCCGGCCACCCTCGTGCTGCCAGATCCTGTAGTGCCGCACAGCCTGAGTATCCCGCACTGGGCCAAAGCAGCACATGGAAGGAGAGTGAGCAACATCCCGGCCCAGCACACTCCAAGCCCAGCCACTAGCCTGCTCTGCGGGCCTGGGTCCTGCAGACCATGGTCAGCAGTGGCCACCCTCCCCGGGCTGCAGCTGCCCAGCCTCCACCATACCCCTGGCCGCACTGAGATCCTGGGTCAGCCAGACTGCTGCTCCCCATGCACTACGGGCACAGGCTCACACCTGGCAAGGGGATCTGTGGGCCGCGCACTTCCCTTGATGATGGCATGAGCAAGGCTGGCAGGAGAGGACCCCGGGAAAGCCCCCTCTGCCCCGGAAAAGAGCCTCCCTGGCTGTCTGTGTGGCTTCTGCCACAGAGAGCCACACTGGGTGGGAGCTGCACCCATGTGGAAGGTCAGAGCTCCTCCAAAGAGGGCCAGTGTCCTCCACTCACAGCCAGAGGGGCCCGGCCCACCATGTGTCTAAAGGGAGCAGGCACAAGGAGCCCACAAGGCCGGGCAGGCAGGGACGAGCCAGGTGGCTGTACCGGAGAGAACATAGTCAGCGCCTGACTTCTCGCTGACCCTGACCAGGAAGGTGCCCGGCGAGCTGCCCTCTGCCTGCAGCCGGTGTGTTGCTTCAGAGCGGGAGATGTGGCCGAAGAACCACCTGCAGAGAAGGGGCGGCCTGAGCCTGCACCGAGCCTCCGGCCCCACAGCTGACCCATGGTGCCCACCTGCCATCCCTGCCTTCTCTGGCTGTCCCCTCCCACCCCTACCCTGACCAGCTGCCCCACCTTGCTGTCCCTAACCCTGAAGGACACTTCTTGTCTGTCACGGAGTCTGAAGGTCCCAAGGGCAGGTTTTGGGTGCTGAGAAAGGTTCTGTGGCCCAGAGGAGGTGGCATGGGCTCTGCACACATGCAGGCCCCCTCAAAGCACTGTCACCCACTTAGCTTCTGTTTTCTTTGCAGTACTGGGCATGGAACTCAGGGAAGAACCTTCACACTGAGCCCCAGCCCCTTTTTTCCCCCTTTTTGTTTTTTGAGACAGGGTCTCAAGTCACTACATTGCCCAGGCTGGGCTCAAACTTGCGATCCTCCTGCCTCAGCCTCAGAGAGCTGAGATTACAGACATACATCACCACACCCAGCACACACTGGCTTCTGACACAAGAGCTTGGTGTGCAGGGTGGGGCCCATGGAGAGCCTCTGCCCTTGGTGTCTCCAGCTCCCTCCAGAGCTGTCAGAACACAGGCCCCACTGCTGGCACAGACCCCTTTGGGGTCATCCCCTTATTGCCTGCAAAACTCGAAGATCTCTCCATTCTCACTGTCCCCCACCACCCTGCCTCCTTGATCCTCACACATGCTGGGTTCTCAGGGCCTCTACACCTGCTGTCCTGGCACCGGGCCCTTGACAGCCTTTCGCATGTCCCACCCACCCCATGTTGTGTCTGTCATGGGCCTCTGCCTCTGGAACTGGCCTGCTGGCAGCCCAGCGTGCTTGTTGCTCACCTGGCGTGAAGTAGGTGCTAGGGGGGTGCTGAGAGTTGGGGCTCTCAGGAGATCAGGCAGCAGGGATCCCTCCCACAGGGCCTTCCCCAGCCTATGCAGCCCCGAAGCCAGGTCCTCGGCTGCTATGGACAAGTCCACGCCAGCCCCTTATTGTTCCTCAAAGACCCTTGGGGACCCAGGCAGCAAGTATTGAAGGACAGTGGGCCAGAGTGCTGGGAGGACAGACACCCACCCAGCAGGCAGCAGATGTATTCCGCAGCCTTCCTGTTCCCCTAATTAGGTCACATGTCTGGTTCCGGCTGTTTGAAAGTGAGCAAGCTTCACACTCCCAAAGGCCCTAGGACTCTCACAGACTTTTGTCACTGGTGGTCAGCACCCCTGAAGCCTACCCTGGACTCTGTCCTCTCTGGGTCTCAGGGAGAAGCCTCTCGCCTCTCAGGCCCATCTTAGGTGTCGAGCAACATTGTGGCCCAGCCAGCACCATGCACTGGGAGGGTGGAGCGGAGGCTGGGCCCCACTGGGGACCCAGCCTCAGCCTCATGGTACAAGAAGATGGATCCAGAGCCTCCCACCCACCTCAGCCCCTGGGCCACCCAGGGCTGCTGCCCCTCCCACTCTGCCCCAAGGGCCAGAGACACTCACGGCTCAGACTCCACAGTCTCTTTCTCTGCCAGGTAGTTGTGGGGCACGTAGCCCTCTGTCAGGGCCTGGCCCAAGTCATCCAACCGGGTGGCCCACCACCACTGGTCCTCCTTCCTGGCCACATGGAAGAGGTCCCCGGCCCGGAAGCTCAGCTCCTCATCCGTCCGGGCCTCAAAGTCCCAGAGGCCCACGTACTTGGGGCCCAAGTAGGCCTGGCCCTGGGACGCCATGGCGGTGCAGCAGGACTGGGATGTGGGCCGGCTGTGGGCACCTGCACTGGGCGGGGCAGGTAGGGCTGTCCCTGACGGGCTGTCCCCACCCACTTCCTTGTGAGGAGGCAGGAGCTGGCCGCACCTTGCACCCATGGACTTCATACTGCACACCCCAGAGCCCACACTAGCCAGGAGCTCACCTGCCAGACCCATACACGCCATGCAGCTGGACCGGAGCCAGGAGGGCATGCCCAGGTCAGCAGAACCAGGCCCTGGGGTGCACATGAGGGGAGCTGCAGAGGAAGCAGTCAGGGTGTGGGCAGCTCTCTACAGGGTGCACCCCCCAAGGCGGAGTGCAGGCTGCCACTCCTCTTCCCTGGGAAGGGCTCCACACTTGTGGGCGTCCCCCACCTCCCTGGGCAGGTCCCCACATGCCAGATGCTGCAGGACCCACCATGGGGAAGAGACGGAGTGGGCAAGAAGGGTCTCAGGGTGAGACCTGTGGGTTCAGCTGGGCCCGGGCTTCTGTATTGGCACGTGGGAGTGCTAGTGACTGCCCAGACACGAGGACTTGGCGGTCCCTCTGTCCCGGAGGAACCACTCCAGAACAGCCTGCAGGTCCAAGCCCTGGGCAGCTGGGGAGACCACTGGGGGCCAGGACATGAGCGGGCAACAGCGTGTGGGCAGGCCTGGAGGGCACCCTAGTCAGACTTGCTGCCCACAGTCCCTCGTGGAAGAGGCGGGCGCTGCCCTTCCTAGGATAGACACCCGGGGGCGTCCGAAGACCACGCAAGGCGGCCTGAGCGCCTGCAGCCCCTCCCAGCCTCCCAGACACCAGTCCAGCCTCCGCCCCGCCCACCCCGGCTGCCGCCCCCT